TTTAGCAAATGGCTGCAATATAACAAAGAGTGAAAAATTTAAGGGGGTCTGAATACTTTCCGTACCCACTGTATATCTAGAGAAGGCTTGAAGTGTCTATTTTTAAATGAATTAAGTCATGTCGAAAACAACTATTCTCTGATAAAATAATCCGTATGAAACCAACGCTAGGTAGTCTTTCCCGTCTGAGCTCACCTATAATGTCATCACGCCCACGCACATCGCACGCCATCATCCACGCGAAACCAGGCTTAAGACACGCAAATATGTAAGCGCCCACATCACCTCCGTAGAGAAAGATTCATCAAGTTAATCTCGGCTATTTTTCGTTTTTTGGAAGAAGACGCGCTGTGAGGAATAAGATTTGGATTACCTCAGAAAAAGAAAGAGATGCGATGCGGCTTAATCGAGCGGATCATCTCGAGGAGTCATTTATTTTTACTTATATTAGTGTTATTGTGACAAACTTGTACACATTCATTTGTTGAACTTTTCCCAAACTATAATGCCAGACTAAAATATGTGAAATAGAGCGCAACATTTTGAAATATGATAGGCAACCTTTCATTGCATCTAAATGTTGTAGGACTCGTCTGCATTTTAGCTCGCATTCTCCAGTGATTTATTATAGGGCATACTGACACGCAAAACATGATTTTTACTTCATATTTTTTAACACTGGATTTTTTAACTTAAGTAACGTAATTTTATTGACATTAGTAACCGTAATCAAATTACATAAATTTAAAATGTAACGCATTACATTACTGCATTACCAGGAAAAGTAATTAGAATACAGTAACGAATAAGTTACTGTGTAATGCGTTATACCCAACTCTGGATGCAATATATGCAGTAGTGTAATAGTGAACAAAGGAGGCAACATTAGTAATGGTGCTGAGCAGTATACCGGTTCATACCGAATACCGGTGTTTATTTTTGTTATGATATAAATTTTTTAAATATCGCAATATTGTATGTCACTTAAACAACGTTTGGAACGTGACAATGTTTAAGAGGAGTCCTTTTTCACTGTTGCACTGTGGTGAGGGCACAGCTGTATGTGTTAAGTGTGACAGTGAATATGGGTAGAACATGATGACAGAAGAACTCATCCACAATATCCACATTGACCGCCACAAATATCCACCGCCCGCTGCCATCAGCTCCCGCGTCTCACACACACGAGCGCGACTTTAGCACTAGATTTAGCAACTTTCAGACCCTTTTAGCGGCTTTTTTTCCATAGAATATACATACTGACAAACCTAGCGATTTTTTTTGGATAAACCTTAGCTATCGTTCAGTTGGAAGATGTCGCCAGTGCTGCCACGCGAGCGCGAGGTCTGACTTTCCCGGCGCAGTGTCGCCTCTCTCGGCGTCTGTTCTGTGCAGTGAGCGTCAGAGGAGCATCACTTTCAGTTGGCCGTTCGTCTGTTAATATGCAATTAGTTTGTTACTCAGATGCAGGCAGTGCGCTGCAAAAAATGAATATAGACAAAACCACCGCATAGATGCATGTTGATTTTATCAGATCAATTGTCGCGATTATAAATCAAGATTTAAGGAGTAAAGTGAGAGTGACTCCTGGTTAACATGTATTAATGGGTCGTGTTTAGTCACCATTTAGTGTGGAATTTTTCTACAATATTCACTCATCATGACAGTAAAATAGGGCATTTGGTGAGCGACTAACAGCAGATGGAGATCATGCATCGGTACTCTACTGCTATTCCTGCAGTTCCCGGATGTGCAATGATGAATTTTCTGCCGAATTTGAACCACTGAATTTGTGGAAGCAAATTTGTAAAGTGAAATAAAATGGACCGAAAATTACCTGTCGAATATTATACATCGTATTTTTAAACAGATTGAATATTTAGGAATTGAACTCTTGAAAGTGAATATGGATTATTGATTTTTAATTATGAAAATAATTATGTTTAATTTAACATTTAATTATGTTTTGAATTTAAATATTCACAGCTTAAATAAACAACTATGTTGGATTTCAGCACCTAAAAATCAAGCCCTCAAATTACAAAGGCATTAAAATGCAAGCACCGTTAATGCAATGCATTATTTTTTCAGTTAGTGCAAATCAACATGCTTATGTTGTTTCAAAGACATTTGTCATTATTTTTCTTCCATAGACTGGCTCGGGACATCCCATGCTTGAAATTAACTTCGAAAAAGAAAAATTATTTTTCTTCCATAGACTGGCTCGGGACATCCCATGCTTAAAATTAACTTCAAAAAAGAAAAAAAATTACTTACATTATTCGTCTAGGTTTTTTAACACCACCTTCTGCGTCAGACTGAATATCCGAGAAGACTTCTGCTTCAGGGAGTTTCTTTCTGGCATCTTCATAGTTGTCTAAAACACACAAGAGACTGAAGCTAGGCTCACACTACAGGAGTTCTTAAATCTAACCAACTATGACATCTGGTTGCAGCACGTACATAAGGATAATCTTCAATAATTTTTTTCTATCAAATCTCAAACAAGCACACACTACAGGACTTTTTTACATTTTAATCTGGACTATAGGGCTGGGCGATTTTCCCGATTTTATCGATTAATTCGAATTTAATGTTTTGCCACGATTTTATTTTTTTGAAATCGAGGAATTGCGTTTTTGAATAGAAATATTACCAAATGTTAGAATTAGACACTTTGACAATATGCCGGTGATAATAGTAAAGAGAAAAGAACGATGTCGGCACACGTGATTAACCGCTCACGTGTGACGCGCTCTGTGAAGGACCATAAATATAGCGTAATAATTACCATAAATAATTATGAATTATTTTCACTTGAGCGCAGTGTTTTTAGAGTGGCGTTTCATGCAATAGACGCTGCAAGAGACGTGAGCGCAACAGTCAAACACATCCATGTTTAAACAGAAAAAACAATGGAAAAGCAGCGCAATCGAATAAAAAGTTACTTAAATCATGTTGTAGATACATTTTCAAGTTGACTAATTAAAAATCGTAAAAAAAAAAAAATGGAGAATCGGTCAAACATTCTGGAAAAATCGCGATTTAAATTTTTTGCCAAACCGCCCATCCCTACTGGACTACAACATGCCCTAGATATTGTTTGAAAATATTTTATTCTTTATTGTTCGGTCACACTTTACATTAAGGCTCCATTAGTTAACTCATTAGTTAACATAAACTGCCAAAAAAAAATCTTCTAAAGCATTTATTAGTGTTAGCTAATTTCAGCATTTAATAACACATTAAAGTCAAATTTTTGTATTATTTAATGCAGTGGCTCCCAGCCATGTTCCTGGAGCCCCCCCATCACTGCACATTTCACATCTCTCCTTTGTCTGACACACCGTTTCAAACATTAAAAAAAAAAACAACCTGGGCCCGTATTTATCAAGCCTCTGAGAATTACTCTCAAGAATGTTGCTAAGAATTGGCTTAAGTGTAAAAAACTTCTTGGCTCAAAGCTGCACTTAAAAGTTAGTTATCAAGCATCTCAGTCGTAATTTAAGCGAAGTGTAGGACTAAATCTTAAGTGTCAGTCTAGAGATGATTCACGACTGCTGTGCCACAAACGGGATTTTGGATGACGACATAGGCATGGACCAATCACTGAATATTCTCAGATAAATTCACATTTAATGGTTAAATTCCTAATAGGAGTTTACATTCAACACACATTTGACAATAAAGAATTTTCAAGAGAATACATTATGGTAAGGAAATGAATAGTCATCACAACCTTCAATTTAGGGTTGTGCTGGTAGACGATAGTATCGTGTATCTACGATAGTCAGAGATATCGCCTGTTGCTGATTTCTTTGACGACAGCAAGCCAATTATTATTATCCGTCAAAAATATAGGCGCCTATCTTTAGTGATGCAGCGCTCGTAATTTAAGCGAAGTGTAGGACTAAATCTTAAGTGTCAGTCTTAGAGTTGATTCACGACACTGCTGTGCCACAAACAGGGATTTTGGATGATGAAATACGCATGGACCAATCACTGAATAGATTTCCTTATTTAAGAATATTCTCAGATAAATTCACATGTAATGGTTAAATTCCTAATAGGAGTTTACATTCAACACACATTTGACAATAAAGAATTTTCAAGAGAATACATTATGGTAAGGAAATGAATAGTCATCACAACCTTCAATTTAGGGTTGTGCTGGTAGACGATAGTATCGTGTATCTACGATAGTCAGAGATATCGCCTGTTGCTGATTTCTCTGATGACGACAAGACGATTATTATTATTATCCGTCAAAAATATAGGCGCCTATCTTTAGTGATGCAGCGCTTGCTAACATTTTAAATGGACATCAGAGAAAATAATACTTTTTTTAAAAAAGCAGTTCATGACCCCTTTAAATATTATGCATCACATAAATTTGTTGCTGTTAAACATGAAAGAATTACAGTACCTGTTGTGTAGAGAAGCTTAACTCTAAATTTTTTCCAGTCTTTTCTGGGTTTCATTGCCAGTTTCACTGCCTTCGTGAGGCTCTCTCCTTTCAGATTTGGCCAGACGCACTGCTCATCATGTACCCAGCTACTAGGCACCACTTCCACCTCATTAGTCTCCACAAATGAAACAATATGAAACATGCCTAATGAACACACACAATAAAAAAAAAAGAAGAAAAAAAGAACATGAGTTATTACATATTATTTATATTCTTCAAAATATTTCATTTGAGCTCCCAGACGAAAGCCATTCAGGTTTGGAATAGGGATGTTCCAGACGAGTTGGGGGTCAACCCTAATCCTACTCTTTTTCAGTAACACATTTGTTTAAATCACAGATTATGTATTTTAAATAGATCTTTTATAAGGACTGTTTAGTAGACTAGTGTTAGTAACATACCTGCAAACTCACAAGGTGACATAGTTCGTAATATAAACCTTGTAGGGGGTCTGGGGGTCTGGTGGAGTAATTTATTTTTGCAAATGTTAATGTTCACATTAGAGTGCACATACTATCAACAAACTCCACCTTTTCACTGCAGGAAACACAGAAGCTGCATCTGAAGTGGCATTAGATGTATTTACACAGACTGTTAAATGAAGCTGAGGTGCCATTACACCACAAAATTTCAAATGCATAAATACTTTTTTAAGGGTAATGTTTTAAATATTTTTGAACATACAAGTTAAAAATTTTGGGAAAATGCAATACTTTTAATTATGAAACCAAACCACCAGTAGATGACAGTAAATTACTGTTTTAATGAGCGAGTCATTAGTCATTCATTCAAATGGCTAATTCATTCAAAATCAAGGCATCTGTCTTTATGAAAGTGTTACTGAATCATTGACTCACTTGATTCGTTCAAACACCGCTGTGTGTTGCTGGGAGACACAACACTTCTGCTGTGTTTTAGATTAAAACTTCGTCAGCGAACTTGAGCAAAAACAGTCAATATTGTATTACAAATTGCAAACTCTGTGTCTGCTTCACTCACAATGGTTTACGTGCAAAGTCAGAAGGAATGTAAAATCTCAACCCTTCAAGAGAATCTGAGATTACCTGACACAGCCGGGAAGATAAACGAACGCAGAGCGGCCCTGAACTCACCCAAAAATCTAAAAGTCTCCGCATCACCCCAAGACAAACCAGGTGCATGTAGTCATGCGGAAAACCACCAACCATGTCAATGTTTGTTTCCATTAGAGGAGATGTTGCAACATGATGGTCTTCATCTAGCATCTGTCGGAAAGAGAGGTCTGTCCTAAGTGGGGCGATCATTTCAGGAAAGGTCATTCGGTGCTTGAGATACAAGCCAGTTTGAGTACATTTGCCACAGGCAGAGTGGCCAGTGTGACTCTTGATGGCTTTGATAAAAGCCCTGGCAGGAGCATCACATACAACAGAACTAACTTTTACAAAGAACTGTTTGCCTTTAAAGCCAAAACCACTGCTCAGTGTTTTCAATTCACTTACAAGATCTTTCAAATATTCATTCAAAGATTTTGGTTTAGAGCTACCACAGAACAGTCCAATCACAAAGGGCCTCTTTACTTTATAGTCTTGAAGAATGCCAAGTATTGGCCAAAACTGTACCGAGGTGCTATTAAACAGTGGAATGCCATCAAAATTTAATTGCAGTTTAAAAATGTGCCGGTCAGGAAATTTGCACCACAGGTTTTCAAGTACTGTCATTAGTGAATTCAGTATACCAAAGTAATGGAAATCTCCACCAGCTATCATCTGTGTCTTGTAAGAGGTTTTAGTTCTAAGCAGAGTTCTACCATCTTTAGGAAGGAAAGGGAGATGCACCCCAAGTATAGTCAGAAGGGCTGACAAAGCAATCAGAGAAACTCCAAAATTAACAGCCCAGCCTGCCAGAGAAGAAACTAAATCATCACTCACTAAATTCCCGTCATCTGCTTGCTCATCATCAGAAACCACATCTGAAAAGTCCTCTGCACATGGCTCCTCAGAATCTGACACATTTATTTCATCTAAATGATCCGAGTGCAATTCCTCACTACCTTGAGTGCAATCAAGGGAGTCAAATAAATCATTTACTCTCTTAACAGCCCTCCTTCTTAGATAAATTTGTTTATATTTGTTTCCAATGTCCATGATGGTAATTTGAAGGGAAAAGTCTCACCAAACAAATCTGTCTGAAAAACAAACAAACAAAATAATTAGTTGGAAAAAAAGGGAAGAGTGTTAAAAGCACATACTGATATCAGACATCATTTCAGATAATAATAAGTGCATAGTTTTAAATTTAAGTTAAAATATAATAGAAATATTAGTAAAATCACAGGAATAATTCATTGACAAAGGGATAATTAATAATTTAATAATAATATTATTATATTACATATTAATAATATTATTAATAAATGTACTTTTTATTTTTAATTAAGCATGACAAATACTGTGCGGAATTAAGACATGAGCCACACAGCTGTCATATTACAATTTATTATAATATATAGAATTATTATAATTTGTTGTTAATACATGTAAAAGCACATATACAAAATTGTTTTATTCATTTCACCAGTCTTTTAACCCATTCTACTGTTTCCTCTTTTGTATGATATTTCTAGAACATTTAATGTTATATGATATCCCACTTCATTCCATGAATCTCTTTACCCAATTAATATTCTGTATTGTCTGTTTTAAACTTCAAGTACTGTACCATATTTGTTTTGTAATAAGTGACAGTCATGCCAGTAAAGCTTTGAATCTATTTGACTAATATATGCTAATCAACTTCACTTTAAGGGAATTTAACATGAATTAGGCTATAATACTTAATTTCATTTAGGCATGGTGGTAATTGAGAGAGAATTTTCAGTATAACTTTAAAAGTACAGACAGCATTGTTGATTATATAGCTTTTAAATTGTCTATTGATAATCGATTAACCTAACAATTATTATTATGATTAATCAACAAATCTTCAATTATGTCACAGATAATACTCCAGGGTTGCAGTTCTGGAAAATCATGGCACTGGAGACTAAAGAGTTCCGGATGGTTTCACATTTAATTCTTCACCTTAATTATTTTCAACTTGTTTTTGTGACCCTGCTGACCCAATGAACATATCTTGTCCAATGGTCATACAGTAGGCTAATTGTGCAATTTCTATAATATTGCATCCATTTCATGAGAATATAATTTTTTCTAACATTTCAGTGTTTAATCTTTTTTTTTTTTTTACCCTTTTTACTTTTAAAATAACAACTGCTTAATAATTACGCGCATATGCATAGAACACATTTTTCTCTTCCAGCCTTCAATAACAACTATATATCTCTTATAAATTATTATATACAAAATTAATAGTGTAGTTATAAAGATTGATGTGGTTTGGAATTGGTACTGTGCTAAAAAAAAAAAAAAAAACAGAATGTGAATGTCGCAGCACATATTTACATTTAATCGCCGCTCTCAGCTCTGACTGTCATAAGCGCCATAGATATGTATGATAAGCGCTGTCTTTTCTTCTTCTTTTGAACTGGATCCTGCGCTGACTTACAGGCTTGCACTACAGCGCCACACTGGTCAAACCGCGTTATTGCAGGCACTTACATTAGATCATATGAGATCAAACGACCATTCAACAACAAAAATAGTTGTCAATATATATATATATATAAAATCATAATGTCTAATGTCGCAGCACATATTTAAATATAATCGCCGCTCTCACGCTCCGACTGTCATATTATATATTGTCAACGTTGTCGATAATTTGAATTTTTGAAAACTGCTGACTTAAACAATAGTTTAAAACAAACGGGATTATTAAATATTTTGAAATCGGGATAACGTTAGCTAAAAAGTTATATCTAGTCCATTTTTAGAATTATAAGATGATTTTTCTAATGGCTTCGACCATTATCTTTTAGGTCAGGACAGCCTGTTTTTACCGTACCACAGCAGTGAAAAACACTGAAAGTGACAAAATGCTTTGTAAACGTTTTCACAAATCAATCTCTATCTAAAATAAGTAATTTATTTTTAAATTTCAACCCGGATTGCGTGATTATTGGAAATTGTCGGAGGGCTACGCAAACACCACATTCAACAAAGTAAAATTACTCGACGCTTTTCTCAATTAAACGAATAACTAAAGACTTAATAACTCCCAATGCTGACTCATAACGATGAATATTTCAATAAAATGACTTTAAAATGCCAAAATATCAGTGTGATTGTCACTCACGTGAACGAGCACCGATTTGCCTCCGATTTCGGGCATTTGTCGGCGATTTCGCAAAACCTGTAGGCAAGTGAAAATTCGGGCTAAAATCGTGCAGTGTGAACTCGGCATTAGTCATTTATCAGACACTTTTATCCAAAGCGACTTACAAATGAGGACAACAGAAGCAATCAATTGTAGTATTAAAACAACTAAAAACAGATCCAAAACTAAAAGCTAAAACTTTATAAATACTACTTATACACATT